CCGGGGCACTCGGTTAAGCGGCCGATCGGTGGAGACGGGAAGAGGCGAATACTGACTCCAATCCCAGGGTTGGCACGAGCCATACAGGCAGGCATGTGACGCATTGCGTCCCACCCTCCTGGCCAGGCCACTTCTGAGCCTGGGATCGGTGAATAGGAGGTGAAACCTGAGCCCCGTCCCAGAGTTGGCCCGAACCCCAGAGGTCAGCAAGGGCCGCACCGCGTCCCACCACCCTGGCCGGGCAAGTCCCGAGCTTGGGGACCGGTGGAGACATCAGGATGTGCATCCTGAGCCCACTCCAGAAGTTGCCGCGAGCCATGGAGGCTGGCATGGGACGCACTGCTGCCCGCAATCAGCATGTCACCGGCGTCGCCAGCACAGCGGCGCCCACCCGCGCGGTCAGAAACCTGCACAGCACGGGCCAGGCTCGCAGCCTCTCGTTCTCCTCCATGATAGGGTCGCCCTGGGACGAGTCGGCGTCGGACCACGTCTGAAATGTGATCGACGCGTGGGCCCGTGCGATGGGGATCACCGCTGGCGTGGACGACAACAAGACGACAACCACTTGGCGGCACATTGCAGCACACGCGGCAGCGGCAAGCAGCCGCAAGCAGGGCAAGGTGAGGTGCGGGCATGGGCTCCGCCCCGCGCTCATGCCGTGTCCCCGATTCGATTTCGTACCTGCAACGACTACGCGGCACCGGCGCGACGATCTCGGCAAAGAGCTCGACATTATGATGTCACAGTATCACGAAGCTAAATGGGAACGGAAAAGGCATTCATGTTTTTTTTTCCGCCGGGACTCGGACCATTTCCACAGCATGGGTCCAGGCTTTACTCCTACTCCCACGACGGCGCTTCTTTCTCTCCAATGCTGTTCCTTCTTCCCCTGCTGATCTTTCCCTCCCCTGGCCCTCGACTATGATTTTTTCCCCTCGAGAGGGGCTGCCAGGAGCGTCCCAGGTGCGGTGCAGGAGGTGGTGCTGGGGCGGGTGCGAGGAGGGGTGCCAGGGCTGGTGGGGGATGAAGCGTCGGGGATGTGTGGCTAAGAGGCCCAGCGTTACCTGCTGGCTTCACACCCACTCCCTTGCTGGACAGCCTGCGGGCTCGCGTATTATTAGTACGTTTATGTTTCTCAATGTCATTCGTATTGTTCGCATTGTTATTGTTAGAGTTTGTATTGTTCGTCTGGGGCTTACTTTTGTTAGTATTACGGCTCTTATTCGTACATGTATTATTCTTAGCATTAAGAATAGTATTAATATTGTGACTTGGCTTTTTATTGTTATGATGTTTCGTATTATTACAATGTATCCCACTCTTCTTAATAGCAGCATTAGTATGACTAGTCTTCGTATTATTCGAGTTGTTCTTAGTATTATTGTTATCAATATTAATATTCTTAGTCAGAATAATATGCATCGTTTTCGTATTATCATTATCATTGTTCGCAGTATTCTCGTCATCATTATCAGCACCCTTATCATCATCACCACCACCACTGTTACCATCCGATGCCTCACCCTCTGATCCACATCCTCATCATCGTCATCATTATCGTCATCATCACAAGCATCCGCCGACCCCTTCTGGGTCTCCAAACGCGTGAAATGGCTACCCCCTTCTGCAGTCCACCCCGAGGCACAAAACTGCGCGTTTAGACTCCCACACCCTCGCCCTGGGCGACCTTCGGCTGAACTCACCCCCGGGCGGGTCCCACCCTCCCTGTGGCCCCAAGATGGTCCTGGCAGCTCCAAAGCGGGCCAACGGAGCCTAAACAGAGCGCCAGCATGGTCCATGAGAGCGTGGAAACGGCCCATGGTTGCCCCACGACGGTCCCAAATTGCTTCAAGACGGCCCACGAAGCCCCCAAGACGGCCCAAGCGTGCTCCCAGAGGAGCGCCAAGAACGCCCCAGAAAACAAAAAATGCCTCCTTTTTCGTTACGAAAACGCACGTGTGCAGCATACTCGTTTTCTTCGCCGCGACAGCGTCCAAGGCGGCCCCCAACATCGCCCCAAGACAGCCCGTGATATGCCCAAAAGAAACACGATATGTCCGACGAGGGCCCCAAAATGGCCCCAGGGGGCCCGAGACGTTCCACGAGGGCCCCAAGATGGCTTCATGGGGGCCCCGAAGACGGCCCAACGGAGCTTCAAGAGGGTCACAATACAAAAAACACTGACTAACTCCCCCCTCCGTTTTGGCCTCATTTTCTTTTGGTTCCTCTTCTCCCCCTCCCCCCAATAAGCGTTCGCCTTCGACCCGCTCGACTGCATCCACGCGGGCGCGCCTCCCACAGGCTTCCCAAAATGGCGTCTTCCACGCGACTTGCACTTCAGACGCCGCCTTCGGCGGAACGAGCGAAATAGACACCCCCGGCAAACGCCGACATCGTGAGCCCCCTCCCGCGCGTGTCCGCGCACTCATGAGCTCGCCAGCTGCGCGCCGTGAACCCGAGTTCCTTGCAAGCTGCGCAAAGCATTTTCTCCCCCAAAATCAGACGCCCCGTCTCCTGCGCGCTGCTGATGCGGTTCCGCCGCGGGAAACACGCGCTGCACGCTGCGCGCGTCAACTGTTGC